GTCAAGAGAAAATCTTTTGTTAGTACATCCAAGAGCCCACAAGTCCGTTTCAGTTTTCAACGTTTGGTGCGGTATAATTGGTTCAAAAATTGTTGGCCCGTTCTTTTATGAGGGAACCCTAACTGGTGAAAGATATGTGGAATTTATGTCAGAAATTCTGACTAATTTCTTAGACGAATTGGATCTTATAAGTAGACATCATCTACATTTTCAGCAAGATGGCGCACCTGCCCACAACTCCAGAGGTACTTATCATTTTCTAAGTACTACTTTTAATGATCATGGATAGGAACAAATGGCCCAATACAGTGGCCTCCCAGATCACCAGATCTAAACCCACTTGATTACTTCTTGTGGGGTTACTTAAAGAACCAAATTTACAAGCGAAGGTACGATAACCTTGACGCGTTAAAGACTGCAGTTAGGGAAAAGATAACCCAGATAGATGGTAGGACCATACTTAAGACAGTTCGAGCAGTTGAAAAACGTGCCCAAAAATGTATTGAAGAACAAGGTGGTGTTTTCGAGCATCTTCTTTAAAAAAATTGTTATTGTATTTTGTAAGATTATAAGTTGATGTTGAAAATAAGTTTGTCGATACAATTTAATTGTTTCAGATTGGAGGCCATAACTTCAACAATTTGTAACCTAGGAGAAAAGTTATTGTGAGCTTTTTTGTTTAAAATTTGATGCTTTAACAGAAAAAAATATAATATACAGGGTTTCCATTTAAAAAAATGTTATTTTACTGAAAAAAATCAAAATAACGACTCTCAATTGTTTTTTTTATTTCTCATTTTACCAGCGTTAAAAATGCTACTAGTTTGCTAATTCAAACAACTTTGTATTTTCACTAATAACAAAGTTACTAATGGTGGACTCTTAATTTGGATAACCCTGTATATATACAGGGTGGCCGCAGCGGTGGCCACAGCGGTGGCCGCAGTAGTAGACTCTTCGGTCTCCTGATCAGTCGCCGTGCGCTGTGCGGGTTCGAGTCCCGTCCCAGGAGACATTTTTCTCTTGGCTATGGATGTTGTGATTGTCCGTAGGTGGTAGATGGTCTTTGACTGTCGAACGCGGAGGTACCACCCGGCTGTTCTCGTAGGCGGAGCCAGAATGTGTGCATGTTGCATGCACACGTGTTCCCGCGCCAGAGTCCGTGTGGCGTCCCCCCTTTCCCATGTATCCCCCTATAGCCCCACGGTACCCAATGGGTCTTAGGCCTTAGGCCTTCGTTAGTTGGAGTATAAAAAAAAACAAAAAAAAAACACGTGGAACGTAGTCATTGTCATCAGCAGCCTGTTAGGAGAGAAAAACTCAGCTTTAATTAGGAACTTCGATAAATTATTGCAAGGTGAACTCTAGGAACTTTAATCTTTCGCTTTCGATAAACTATGTTATCATCCTATTAGTATTGCGTTATAAAAAGTACTTTACGCTTTCACATTTTGGCGTCACGAGATTCTGTTAAGGAGCCTCAGCACGCACCAAGAAATATATTTACAACATATTAACTAAATAACTTCTAAGTCTTTTTATTGCATCTACATATAATATCACGAATTGCCATATGTATAATGTTTAACAAGCTATTTGCTTTTATCCAAGGATCTGCTCAGATCTCACAACTCACACCTATTTAGAGTTCAAGCAATGTGTTTCCTACTTCTAATATCAGGTATTCCGAGACTGCTACTGTTTCGTAAAGACAATTTTTCGTATTTTCCTATACAGTTAATCCAGAATTGTTCAAATGCTGTACCGTTAATGGAGATTTACTTCCATTTCTTTGTATTACCTAATTTATATCTATTGTAATAATAACTGAATGATTCACATCGCAATATAGATAGTATTTCTGCTCCGATGTACGAAAGCACACCCAATTGGCTAGTAAATAGTAATAGTAGTGGTGGTGAGGCGAAGGTCACGTTGGGCGCTTTTTGCCGACCCCGTAGTACCAACACTGTACTACCCTAAACTCTATATCACGAGTATCAATCACGTTGGGATCTCTATTGGGGTGAACAGCTGATCAACTGGTGGCATATTTGTATCAGTCTGTAACGTTGACAATAATGAATCGGGTGTAAATCCAGTAAAACATGCTTGTAGCGTTTTTATTTTCTGTAATCAAATGAACTTTGCTAAATAAAAGAGTTGTTTCAAAACAAAATACGAATACGGTTCTGTCTACCTAGCGTTGACTGATCGCCCAGAATTATGTGTCATTTGTCGATATGTGGTATTCTGAGCTGTTATTCTATCGTAATGGATACTAGTGAAAAAGACAATACATTCTATCTACTGGTAACTAATTATTCAATCAACGAGCTCCTGCAATCCGATGTTCCTGTTTTGATCTTCAATCGATCTTGTGCGTAGTATTTCTATATAGACAAACACATCTATAATCAAAATTGACTTCCGAGGTGGGGATTCAAACCCACTCGGCTACCCAGCCCCTCTAGTAAATTGTCTACCTACTTGAATATTCTTCCCAAAGAAAAGAATGTACCTACGATGTATTGGTTTGTCAGGTCGGTAACCACTGGTAGGCAAATCTATCAAAAAAAGAACGTTATGATACCGACAAACACTGCCTTGTAAACATAAAGGGCTTGGTTTCTTCTAACTTATACGATTTCGTCACTAGAGGTTCGACACTTTCATTTTAAAGCGTCTGAAGGATCGATACCAACAGCTTTTCATATATTATAATAAATGATATGAAATTTTGGATTACCTTTTGTATTTGGGCATCTTTTGGTATCAACAACGTGTTCTGAGCTTGCCTGATTGCCTCTTGGGTATACGCGCTACCTTCCTTCTGAGGAAAAGCTAAGGCACACCCCACTAAGGCAAAACCGAAGAGAAACAGCTTCATGTTCTTCCTGGAAATTATAAAACATGTCAATTCGAATATGTCACCTATACAGGTGAACAAAGAAAAGAGCGAGAATGTTTCTGTGACAGGACTAACTTTCACGTGAAAAAGAGACTCAAGTATCGCCTGATGAGTGTTGAACTTATACATATTTACAAATTATGACATAGAAAATGTTTACCCGCGCAGCAGTGAAGGTATTAAGTATCAATTTTATACATAGTATTAATAGCACAAGTAATAACTCAAACCAAGACTCAAATATGTGCCTGCCTCAAACTAAATCAGAGGCGCAAGTTATGTTGCTGTCATTTAACACTTTATTAGTTGATATAATAATTGCATTGTATTCCTTTTTACTAGCTCATCACTTTTGGTTTATATTAACGATTGTATCTTAATTATGAGGTAGTCATTCAATCTCAGTCACAGCGAACACACACACTGTAATTCCAGTTCGGTTGTTGGAATCAAATAAAGTTTTTTAAAAACGAAGTTTGAAGTTCCGACTACATAATTGGCGCAGCCCGCAGTAGGATTCCCAAAGGGATTTTCGCCGATTAGCCCTTGAGTCCGAACTCTTAATTGGGAATCGCGAACCTCCGCGACGAGCTGGTACGACTGAAGAAAGAAGAAAGAATTTGGACCACAAGTGCCCTTTGTCCTGTTAAAGTCGACGTCCACCTGAGGAACCTAGGCCAAGAACGGTATGAAGTACTGGACCTATCAGTAAGTGCTCATTGTATCCTTATTTTTTCATGAGTGACTCACCCCGACCTGTACATCCTTTCGAAGGTGATAGTGCAGATCAAATCGCTAATCGCATAGCAAGCTTAGAATTAGGAAGTAGAGAAGTAAGACAAGCAAACGACACTATAGAAAAGATAATAATGACGACCCCCAGTAGAAATAGTGCCCCCCCAGTTCGACATAAAATTACTCCCAAATTGTACCAGAATTCCATGGGAATCCCTGTAGACTATATAGATATTTAGAAATAAGCACAGATTTATTAGTTATTTAATAATTAATAATTCCACAAAAATTTCCAACAAACGCACAATTTTTTGGCAATAGACCTAATGTTAATGTTTGGCGTAATCCGCCTAACCAAGGACCTTCCTACAGGCCTACTCCTATGAGTGGTGTTAGTAGCATCAATAGAAATAAGAATTTCCAAAATAATTATTTTAGACCTTTTGGCCCAAGGAACTTTGCTTCTCAAGAATAACATAACGTTGAGAGTGATCCTTATGATAAAAATTTTGGAAACAACCCTTACGATGACTATTACTGGGAATATTGTCAGGATAGTGAAAATCAGTATGACTGTTCTGATCTATATTACGAAAACCCTGATGAGACACAAAATGATGTTTCTGAAACTGGTCAAAAGCCTGATGAAGAAAAACAAAATTTTCAGATGGCCGTGCCCATGATAGAGGAGACATAATACACTTAAACACGATCTATAACAAAACAGAGTTACCTTATACTGAAATTAAAAATCCGCCTTTAAAGCTTCTTATAGATACTGGTGCAACGAAATCACTTTTAAATCCTGATCTTGCACAATAGCATTTTCAAAATGTATTTATAAAGAACCATTCGAAGTAACTTCAGTTTTTCAGCATTCGAAGAGAGACTATTGTGCTAAAATTCTCAGAACTCAATGTTAGTGAGCCTATAAAATTTCATTTGTTCAAATTTCACAAGTATTTTGATGGTCTGATTGGTTTAGATATTTTGAAACTTCTAAATTCGCATATTGACCTTAGAAATTCTATTTTGCATACCAAAAACGCCAAAATTCCAATCAAATTTCATGATTTGAAAAATCGTTTGTTATTTTTCATAGAAATTGAGCCCCACATGGCGGCCCAAGCCAAAATTCCTGTCGATACTTATAATGGAGAAATTTTGATTCCAAATTCCAAAATTAGAGATTGTGTAATCAAGGAAACGCTTACTCATGCTATAAACGGTTATGCCCTAGTTGACCTAGAAAATCCTAGTAACACCTATCAAGAAATTTCCTTGTATGAGCCTATTGTTTCATTTCCGTTCGACGCAAACAATTACGCTTTATTCCACGCTATCATTAAACCATCTGAATCAGTTTCGCCGTTGCGACATGATCTCAGTAAACTGATACGAACATCCCATGTCAATCATGAAGAAAAAACTCATATTCTAAAATTGTGTCAAACCTACTCCGACGTATCCTATTACGAGGGTGATGCGTTAACTTTCACAAACCAAATTAAGCATCATAGGAGGACCACAGATGAAATTCCTGTTCATACAAAATCGTATCGTTATCCACACATGCTCAAAAATGAAATGCAAAGCCAAATTAGATCCCTTCTAGATCCGAATATTATTCGACATAGTAGTTCAGCTTGGAATTCTCCAGTTTTTCTCATTCCCAAAAAACCTGATGCTAGTGGTGAAAATAAATGGCGTATGGAGGTTGACTATCGACAGGTTAACGAAAAGACCATAGATGATCGCTACCCCATTCCATGTATTTCTGACATTTTAGACAAATTAGGTCGTTGTAATTACTTCACAACTTTGGATTTAGCTAGCGGTTTCCACCATATTGAAATAGCCCCGGAAGATATTCAAAAAACAGCATTAAGTGTTGATGGAGGTCATTACGAATACCTTCGTATGAGTTTTGGTCTTAAAGGAGCACCAAGCACATTTCAGCGTGTTATGGACAATGTCTTGCGAGGACTAGATAACCCTATGGTGTATATGGATGACATCATAATTTATTCTACTTCTTTACAAGAACACATTGTATCATTGAAAAAGGTTGTCCAAAGATTAAGTGAGACAAACCTCAAAGTTCAGTTAGATAAATCCGAATTTTTGAAAAAGGAAGCAGCTTTTCTTGGTCACATTGTCACATCGCAAGGAGTAAAACCAAACCCCGACAAAATTAAAATTAAACAGTTTTTAGGTTTTATTGGTTATTATCGTAAGTTCATTAAGGACTTCGCAAAAATCAATCGCCCTTTCACCCTATGTTTGAAAAAAGGAGCAGAAATTAAACATGACGAAAAATTTCTCAATGCTTTTGAACATTGTAAGAATCTCTTAACGAATGAACCATTATTACAATATCCGGATTTTGAAAAGCTCTTCATATTGACTACCGACGCAAGTAATTTTGCTGTATCAGCTATACTTTGTCAAGGCCCTATTGGCTCTGACAAACCAATAGCTTATGCATCTAGAACATTAAACGATTCTGAACAAAATTACAGTGCGACTGAAAAAGAATGTTTAGCAATAGTTTATGGAACTAAGTATTTTAGACATTATCTTTTTGGACGAAAATTTAAAATTGTAACAGATTGCAAACCGCTTCAGTGGTTAATGACTTTAAAAGAACCAAATTCTAGATTACAAAGATGGCGCTTAAATTATCCGAATTTGAGTATGAAGTTATATACAAAAAAGGTAAAGAAAATAAAAATGTTGATGCACTTTCTCGTATTCAAATTCACGCTACTGAAACTGACCCACAACCTTCTACATCACAAATCCAAGATGAAGAAGAGTTCCCATTTATCCGATACATGAAACCTTCAATAAAGACTTTTCCGAAAAACCTACAGATGACCAAACGTCTATAGAAAATAATGTAGGTGATGAACAAACAATACGCAATTTGCTAGACTTGAGTGAACGAGTTGAAAACGTAACTATTCACTCAGACGATGAAAGCCCCATTCAAGAAATTAACCCTGTAGAAAAACCTATCAATGTTTTCAAGTATCAAATTTTTGTTAAAAAAGCTATTATGCCCAGAAAACTCACACTTCAAACGTTATGGGATCAAAACTAATCACCGAGGAATTATTGAGACTGTAAACCAAATTAAAAGAAAATATTATTGGCCCCACATTGATGATGACGTGAAGTTATACGTTAATACCTGCGATATTTGCCAGCAAGGCAAATATGAAAGACATCCACCTAGAATTGAATTTGAGATTACCACGACAGCTAAAATGCCATTCCAAATTGTTCACTTAGATGTATATCAAGCTAACAATAAGAAATTTTTAACAATAATGACAATTTTTCAAAATATGCGCAAGCCTTCCCAATCGAAGCAGCTGATGCTATCTCTGTTGTAGATAATTTGATCAAATTCATGTCATTTCATGGTTTGCCCATCCAAATTGTTGCAAATTCTGGTACTCTGTTCAACAACGCCTTATAAAAGAGTTTGCAAAACTCCATAAGATAAAGCTACATTTTACAACTTCCAAAAATTCAAATAGTAATTCACCTATTGAACGATTCCACTCCACTATAACTGAACATTTAAGAGCTCTTGCATTGCAATTTCCAAAAAAGGATGTTAATTCTTTGATGCCTTATGCAATCCTTGGCTACAATCAGTCCATACAATCAGTGACGAAACGAAAACCAATTGAAATTATTAACGGACATTTAGACGTTAGAGATCCTTTTGATCTAGACGTTGATCGAGAATTAATGAACAATTACCTTCAAGAACACAAGAATAGGACAAAATTAATTTATAGCCTTATCTATGACATGTCGAAAACCCAAAAGGGAAAGGTTATTCGAAAAGCTAATAAAGATCGCGAAAAACCGACCGACTATTCTAGAGAAAAAGTAGCTTACCGACGTGACGCGAAGTCTCGAGGTAAAAATCTGAAACCGCCCTATATAAAAGAACAGACTTTGACTGACAAAGGTTTAAAACTCAAAATATTTATCATAAAAGTATTTTCAAAAAGCCCAGAAAAAAAGTAACTCAAAATTTGTTACATTATGATACTTCTGATAGTGCATCTGACACATCAGTCCACGGTGAAGGTGGAAAAAAAACAAATCCTGGTATACTACCCTTCAGATTAGGTGATGCTTAAGTAAAAATAGGAACACATACATTTTTAGACTATGTAGATTTTAAGCCGATAATTAAGGAAGTAAATTCGCTAAGTACAGTATTTCAAAAAATCAAGGACCAAACAGAAAAGAATAAATAAATTTAGGATTCATTCCAGATATACATTTGGCAGATATAGAACAGCATATAGTTTACTCGATGTCAAATTTTAAAAACAAAATAATGTCCATATATCCATTCTGGAAAAAGCAATATCGCCCAAAACGAGGCTTAATAAATGGCTTAGGATCAATTATCAAAATGATTTCAGGGAACTTAGATGATGACGATGCTAAAAAATATGACCAGGCTATTGAACAATTACAGAAAAATCAGAATCAAGTAATTAAGACAGCTAATCAGCAATTTTCCTTGACCCACGAGGTTCTCAAAATGACAATAGGACATTTAGCCTTATGGTTCACAATCAAGCTGTAATAGAAAAAACTTTGGTAGAGATGCAAAGGAACAATACATACTATTTTACTATTTTGGATACACTATTACAAATAAAGTTCAATTTAGATGCACTGCTCTCTATAACTAGTAATTTGGAAAATGCCATCGCATTTGCCAAAATTGGTTCATTGCACCACAGTATTATTTCGATAGATGAATTAAAGTCAATATTCCAAAATTAGTCAAAAATCATAATAAAGCTCAGTTGGTGTATTCAGACATCAAAGATATTTAAAGCTTTACGACATAATTTCAGTAGAAGCATATTTTTCCCAAAGTCGATTAGTTTTTGCCTTACATGTTCCGCTTTTGCACGTAGACAAATTTAAGCATTATCATCTTTATTTCAGAGTCCAAATACATTGCTATCTTCTCGAAACAGTGAAGCACCCCTATAAATGGAGTCTACCCCTGTATCCAATTATGTTAATTGATATTGCATGCATTTTCGTGAAAAAGTATTACCAGAGAAGAAAAGGATCAAGAAGAAGCCAGCATTTAGAAGAAATCGAAATGCAACCCCAGAGGCACGAAGTTTCGTTTGTGCCCTCCAAAACTTCATCTTAAGGGTGGAGGAGTTATGTTGATGTCATTTAACACTTTATTAATTGATAAAATAATTGCATTGTATTCCTTTTTACTAGCTCATCACTTTTGGTTTATATTAACGATTATACTTCGCTATACTCGTCCAATTAGATCACACACGTAGTAACACCATTTATGCTTTGTCGAGCACAACATTTTTAAAGGTACCCCGTATACAAACAAAATACCTATCTATCTTGCGTTTCTTATCGGCCCAGGCATATGAATCATTACACTGTTGTGCTTCGTCGAGTACGGACCGGTTTATTTACATTTTGGTGGAAATTCGTGAAATGCCGAAGCGAAAAACAAGTAGTGATGCTGCAAGATTGGAGAGAAAACGGCGAAAACTAATTAAGAGTTTAGAGAAAATTGACAAGAAAAGTCGGCGAGGTGATAGGTGTAAGAGCACTAGTAAGTTGTTTTTAGGTAAAATCGTTAAACCTAATGTATTAAGAATGGGCTAGAACCGTTAAAGCCTTTTGCAGTTTTCACATAACGTGAAAAACATATAAATAGGGTAAAACCGTTAAACCCAGGACATATTCTACAGAATATGTTAAGGATATTGCATGCGCAAGTAGGTGAGGACTGTATATATTTTTTATGTGAATCCAGCTCTGATTCTGATTCATCAGGAAGTATAAGCAGTGTATATAGTACGGGACAAACGTATACACATTTAGAGCCAGAAGTCATAATCAATGAGGCAGAGAGGTATCCTCCTGTAATTGAAGAACAATCTCAAGATGAAAATCTGGAAATTCCGTCGGGAAGTGAGCCAGTATTAGGAAGCGAGGTTCACAAATCTCTGGCTGATCGATGGACCAAGTACGTGACATTAGGTTTAGAGAAATCGGACAAGGAGGAGTTGCACAAAAAACCTGATTCCCAAAAATATTCCTTACTTACGAGCCCTTTTGTTGAACCCGGAATTGGAAGCAACCTTAGGTGATCCTGTCAAAAAAGAGGACAAATATGTTTCTACTATTCAGAAGCATGGTTTTTAAATCCAAAATGTTACCCAGTGTGGTGGACGCTGGCAAAATT